GGATGCACCCCTGCTAGCTTTCGTCACCTACCCTCGGCCTCAAGTTTACAAAAATGTATGTATGCACACAGTATACACACTATCTCTTCTAGACTCTATAACTTTGTTGTTTGGTGAAACTATGTTGATAGGGCTAGTCAAACTACTGTCTTTGTCACTGCAACTCATGCTGACATCATCTACAAAATAACAAAATCCAAATTCCAGATTTTTGATTTTTCCAATTTTGCACAAATGTGTCTGCCAATTGGTGTGTCCTATCTGGAGCTTTGTTCAAGGAATTGCATCGTGTTTCCTGTCCACTTTTCAAATCATGCTTGACATCACCCGGACTTGTCCAAGTGCACTTGCACAACTGACTTGGGAAACGAATCAACATGTATCCGCCCGCAACCATTTGTTGGTCAAGCTTGGGTTGTTGAAGTAATAACTTCATTTGTTGAGGCTGGCGGCTGGCGTTGAAAGTGAGACCAGCCGCTTTTGTTTCTTTTGAGTCTTCAGGATGTTGGTAAGCTGCAAGCGGCCCGTCACAACAGAGGCATGCGTCCATTGCCTGGGTAGTCAGTTTTGTTGAGCACTGATGCCAGGAATTGCTGGAACCACTTTTCAAAAGGAGCCGCTTGCACGATGTCTCGATGGTTGGGTCGGATTCCAAAGCCTTTGATTGCGTTCTTCGCGAACATTCTTCTTATCAAGTTCTTCGTATCAAGGCCTGACGAGCCTTCACCGGTTGCAGTTCAAGAGGTTCCAGCCTCGGTCCGTGGTACAGGTTGCTTAGGGACCAAAAGCACAACACGTAAACAACACAAAAGGACTGATGGGATCGAAAGGGATTCGGCAGTTGGCAGGCTTCGAGCTGCGACACCGACTTTGTAGAAGCAGCAGCAGAGGCTGTAGAAGAAGCAGAATTACGTCGACCTGTTGATTCGCAGGAGCAGATCTACGCGTTTTTGCAACTTCTTTTATGTGTGTGGAAATTTCCAACAACTTTGTTTGGCAAATTCAATTCCCAACAATTTTTGTTATGTGTGCGGAACCCAGATTCATGAACCAATTGAACTCTATGAAGTGCTGCTAGTGATTCTCAGCTCTCAACTCTACTGTCGTGTCATTGAAACCAGTGAGAAAGAGTGGATCAACCATTCTTTTAGCTGGAGAGGATCAGCCTGCATTGAAGCGACTTCGTGGTATGATCGAAGGATCTAATGCCTCGGAACTGATCTTACAGTTGTTTTCACAGGATGGTGTTGTTGCAGTCATTCCATTTTGGTCGAGCTTTGTTTATTGGTCATCATGCTCGGTATTCTGTGAGCGGCATGGACCTAGGCCTCGTCGTCTGAAGCCAAAGAGGCCTGATGTTTCTTTGAACACCTTTGAAAAGAGCAGTAAAGAGTGTACCTTGATTGTGCCCCATCAAGGCTTCTGTCAACCACTGGGCAGAAGCCCTGGTAAAGTCTCTTCACTGCTGTCCATCCGTGGAGCAGGCCTCTTCAGCATGCCCACACTATTCTATTTTAGCCGGTCTTTTTATGGCCAACACTTTTCCAAGATATCTATTTCCGTACCAAAACCATTTGACAGACGGAGAGAAGGTTTGCTTCGTAACAGGCTGTGCAGCGATGTGGTGCAGCCTGGCATAAGATCATCTACTTACTGTAAATACAGGGTGACAATTGACTCTTGAAGTGCTTTTGCTTCTGAGGTGGCACTCACTGAATTTGGATCACAGGTTCGTTTGGCAGCCCTTCGCGAGGCCATATTGTTGCAGCACATGTTGCGACTTGTAGGTCAGGTCATGATGGGCAGAGTCAGGTAGATGCCAGAAGATTCAGTGTCAGTGACAGTGATGAGCTGTGTTCGCAGCTGCTCTGGCTCACTATGTTGCATGCCCAAATGCAAATGGCTGTCGAAGAGAACATGACGTTGAACACGAAGTGGATGACTCGTGCCAATCGCAGTTCTAAGAGACCTCGTGCTCCATCGTGCTTAAGGTGCCATCGGTACACCAATTGGCTGTGCGTACTGGTACTGATCCTTGGAGTCACGCATTGCCAGCGCTGGGTTCGCGTCTATGCTGCATCCCAAATGCATGAAGAGACCATTAAGCTCAGGACGCTGCCAGAAGGGTGGTAGCTCCAGCTATAGTTCTTTTGAGTTGAAACTAGTGCTGAAAGGGATGCCGACATATTTTTGACACGTTTTTCGATTGTCAGGTATGCAAAATTTTGTTTGTTTTGGAGTGTATGTGTCAGGCACCAGGAGCATTGTGCAACTTTTGAATCTGGCACGTATCGTACCGCCATGTGCAACCCACACACACACACAAGCACACACACACAAGCAAGCACACACACACACACACGGTATGTAAACCTTTCATAGCACCTTTGCTCCAGATGGCATGGGTAATCCTAGCGTCCTACTGCTAGGAGCGTGTTAAGTAATGGCGGGCTAAAGGAGAAGAAAACAAAGAGCGGTATGGTGTAACTGAGATTAGTCCAGAAACTTCTGAGTCGATGATTCCAACAGAAGACGTTTGGGTACTACTTTTCCACCAGTGGAGGGTCCTCTGCTTAGCGGAGCGCTATTTACAGTCATGCGCACAGCAAACCTTGCATGATACTAGCAGGTTACACACGCACTCGAGATTGAAAGTACGTACGAAGGCCGCCAAATGCCCTGAAGATGCCTGAGTGAAAAGTTGTCTGAGCGGTAAACCAGGTGTTCCATAATCCTATTGCAGCGGCGTGTAGCCGTCCGTGAAATCCAAAGCAAATCCAACCCCGTCAGATCAAAATGGGCCAAACAAAGTCTCCAAGTCCAAATCGCAAAGATGCAAGGTGAAAACTCGACTGCCGAACGCAAAGCGATGCAAAGGCCATTGACTTGTTCTAATCAAGAGCGGGACCAACTGCGTAGGACCCATCAGCTGCACTTATATAGATGCCCAGGCGCGGCCGGTAGCAGGTACGCTTGCACATGCGTTGCGTGAGCGTCTTCGTTGGCTCTTGTCTTATGCAAGCTCCAAGAGCATTGTTCTTCTTGGCGGAAAACGTGAATCCAAGGTGTACACACACAACGTGAATGGAATAAGTAAGTTGAGTGGAGCTTTAAAGAGGTGTGGTAACCCGTAACCTCCTGAGTCCACGGCCTGGCAATGCAAGGGAACTCCAAGCTTTGTTCTGGAGGACATTGCCGCAACATTTGCTATACAGCCAGGGCAGAGAAAACCATGCAACCAGGGTGAGTTCTCAATTTGCATCTGAAGCGCCTCCTGGACACGAAGCGCAGCGTCTCGGCTGTGCATTAAAGTTGCGACTGGCTATGTGTTTGGCTCAAGCCTTGAGCAAGCTCGTCAGGTTCGAAGAGAATCAAAGCAAACTTCCCGTTTTGCTGGCGCTCGTCCTTGTTTGTGGTGGGCTGGTTCTTCGACAAGATGCAATTGCAATCTTTGGTGTCTATCAGACTCTTGAAACAACTTGGCAAGTGCAGCTATATCTTTTTTTGGCATACTGGCAAAGTTGAATAGAGACAACTTTATTTGGTTTGTTTCCCAGTCAGGTTTTGCTGTGTTATGACAAGCCAATCTATCTTGGAGTCCTTTCATGTCTTATCACGAGCACCATTTGACGCGCTTGAGCTCTACAGTGAGTTCGCGCTCATGACGCCCGTGCTTGCCAAGTCACTGACTTCAGGAGACCTGGAACTGGATATGCTGTGGGGGAGCCATTGGGGGCCATTGCGGGGAGCCAGCAAAAACTTTCCCATGCTTTGGTTCCGACGGGTTTTGTAGTTGCTTCGCACTGCTGAATGTTCTTAGTGCTCAGCATTTGCTTGCTTTCTTCTGCATGTTCTTTGGCACCGCAGCCCGATGCTTACGAACGACTTGACTGAATTTTCGGACTCTTTCTTGCATTTTTTACTCAACACTAGGAGCAAGGACGCTACTAGGAGCTCCTGGCATCGCTACTAGGAACAAGAAGCTACTGGGGGCTCCTGACCTCATCCTGCACCGACACTAGGCAAACTTCCTTTGCTGTGCCCATCATGGCCCCCAGACTGCTCCCAACCCCTAGCATCACTGGATTGCTATTCCTTCGCTTGCACAACCACCATTTGTATAATCCTAAACCGCATCGAAACTGACCATGTGTGGGCGGGCAACGTTCAACCGTCATCATGAGCAGGCGCTATAAGAGTTTTTCCCTTCAAACTGGTCCTCCAGCCGTCCTACAGTAAACAACATCCTCTGTATATATATATATATAGTTGTAATTACAGACGACAGATTTGTGCAGTTTGCTATTGAATGGTGTGAACTGATATATATATATATGTTGAAAGAATACCTTTAGTGCTCATCTTGCCTCGTTGTCCTTCGGAATTGGATTCTTGGAGGAGTTGCATACATCATGGGTGATATGATTGCACAAATTCTGGAAGGCAGTTCCGTGATAGACTTCATTCGATGTGGTCACAATGCACTAGCCGGCAGCTTCCACTTCGATACGCTTTATAGAAAATATTTGTTTCCAGTTCTGTCAATGGCCCATGGCGGTAAGTGTAGCTCTTGCAACTGAACATATCTTAAATCTGAGGCATGGTTTTGCATGGGCCACTTCTTCATTATTGGATCCTGCTTTTAGAAGGACAGTTGCCTTGCGTCAGTGTGTTCACAGCTGTGTGCATGTGCGCGTGCATTGCTTCCAGGGCCCTTCTCTGGCTTCTTTTGGAATCCAGAGGGCTGGCGGTGCACTGTTGTGAAGGTGGCATTGGATCAGACCGTATTCTCCGGCTTTCTGAATGCTGTTGCTTAGCGGAACACTTGCAATGTGTCATTTCGTTTGGATTTCGCCCTTTGGCCGCCAAGGCCTATGCCATTGTCCTTGGACTCCTAGCAAGAAGAAAGCTGAAGGAGACCTTTCATGATCTTCGAAGAACACTTCCTGCAGCGATGTGGTCTAGCTGGCGGTTTTGGCCGTTCGTGCATTTGGCCAGTTGCTCAGGTATGAACCGAGAATGAGTGAAGCTGCAATGCTACCTGTGCAGCAGAAAAGTTTTGCATACTCTCTTGCCCATGCTCAGGTCACATACTCCCCGATCATGCCCATTCAACTGAAAGTGTTGTGGAATGACTTGGCGGAGGCGAGCAACTCACCGACAGTTTGAGCCTGACTGACTTGCAGTCTCAGCATGCGACTTGCCATGACGTGCCTATCTTAGCAGCGCAAGGTAGCTTGGGTTGCCATCCTCTCGCTCATCGCCAATGCAAACAACAACTCGTCGAAATGCACCGACAAGGCACCAGTTCTAATGGACTTTTAGTTTTGCTCCCTCTTGCAGGATCCATTGTTGCGGCAGTGCACGCCTTCTAGAAGTTTCTGTTGTGTCCATGAGAGGGAGTCAACTCACACCTCATCTAAAGAGTTTGCCAGCTTTGTCATTCCTACATATAACGCAAGGGAATTTGAGAAAGATTTGCTACACAGTACTACATAGGTCACGTTCTGTGTACGTGTGTGAATGCAAGGACGTGGGTGACCGATAGTGGAGGCAGTTTTTGCATCTCCAGATCCTGCTTTGTGTTTTGTGGAGAAGAACTTTCTTTTGGAGAGCGATTCTACTTCAGTAGGAAGACAGTTTCTTCTTCTCACTTGGTCTTGCAACATCTATGTCAGTGTGGGATAGTCAATTATCACCCTGTTTTGAAGTGAACATTTAGAAAGCTTTGGAGGGAACAAATTCAACCGCGTCAGGTGACATAAGTGTCTTGCAGGTTTGCACGGGGAAAAGGTCTTTTGGAACCTTCAAGACTGGTGGTGTATACGCTTTGTAGCCCAGGAAGAGAGTAGGAATGTGCATGATTCTTTTTCCAGGACTTGGCTGTGGAAACTGTGGTCCGAACTGTTTAAAGTTTGCTTTGTTGCCGAGTGTGACATAAATTGACCTCAGATGGCAAAAGGATTGCTAAAGGACATCCTACAATTGCCTTCCAAGGTTTGAATCCTGTAGTCGACGGCTCCTTTTCCAATATTTTTGTACAGAATGGCACTTGCAGCACCGTCAACCAAAGGTTGATCTTCATGTGGTTCCGAAGCTCAATTCATTTTTGCAACTGAAGAGCTGCACCACGGACATAAGACTGTACACATGTCTCACGTGCCATCATTTACCTACCCGTGTTTTGGCGGCGGGCGACATTAGGAACCCCATCGTAATTGTGTAGTTGGCCCACGGATAGACGGCCGTGGGCTTTTCTTACCTTTCTTTTTTTTGATATATTGTTTTCTACAGTACTACGTGTGGGATATTTTGTTGGGGGGGGTGAGGGATAAGTTCCCCAAAGTGGCAGTGAAGTACACTGGACCTGATCGATAACACCAAGTAATACCCAATAGACTCGATGGCGGAGTGTCGAAGTGTGCGAACGTCAGAGAGCACACTTTTCTATGGCGCGTGGTGCAATGCGGGCTCTAGTGATCTTGAGCCAAAAGCAATGAATTAAGCTGTAAAGCTACCAAGAAGAGTATCTACAATCAAGTACGGACAACAGGTGCTAGCCAATATATAGCGTAGGCACGTCTAGGGGGACCCTAGAACACTACAAATCACAGGGGGTGGGGGGGTGGGGGTGGGGCTAATTAGCACACCTGTGGCGTAGCATGCTATCTACTTCAGTTTATTTTCTTGCGGGCTTCATTCGGTTAAGCACACTGCATCTCTTTTTGGCTCAGTTCAGAGATGCCGCAAGCTTTGTTTCTTTTTTTGGTGCGTTTCATTGGTTCTTTTGTTGCGGTGTGCGGGTTTTGTGGACGTGGACGAGGTACCCCTGGTTCTTTGGTTTGGAGTAAAGTTCGTGGTGGGGATCCTTTGGTTGGTTTGACCCTCGGAATAGTTTTGGACCAGGACCGTTGGTGTTTGTATTTTCAGGGTTTGACGGACTACTCAGAATTTTTGTGGGGTTTGTGGCTAGCAGTGTGGGAACGTAACTTCGAGACTGGTACAGGTTTGTTTCCTTGGTTGCAGCTTTGTTGGTCTTTACAAACGACTTTGGCCGGTGGGCTCCATGTCGATACCACATGGACCTTTGTGGCGCAACTGGAGCCAAACCATCACGCCAAGTCGTTCTATCAGATATCAAAGGACACATTTTCATTCATTACATACTCACTATATTCAATGTTGATAAATATATGACTAGTTTTCTTTATATTTATCAATGTATATGACTCCCACCGCTTGGAGCAGCTCCTGTCAAGAGTGAAAAAGTCGCACACATGTCCGACGACTAAAGTAGTTGCGTAGTTTCCAAAGTGCTTCGAAATCGCCATTTCGCCTCAGCGAAAAATTGATTTTATCGAAACCTGCGTGGAATTCACCGTGATTCCAGTGATGAAGTGTCGCTCACATCACTCCCAATGGAATTATGCATATTTAATTAAGATTGATTACCCCACGACCATCCTTCATCACCCCACATCACCCCACATCACCATCAGTTGTCATGTTTTCCTTTTTCCCCGCGCAGCCATTTGGCTTTGATGTGATCAATGAGGAATTTGAACTTGGGTGGTTTGGTTTCGTTGTTTTTGGTCTTCTTGCCGTGACTGTCTAGGAAAGATGATTTGACTTTCCGGGTCCTTTGAAGCAGTTTTTTACCATTGATCCTGATTACGCGCACTCTTTGTTGAAACTGGGAATGGCTGTGCGGTCTGACTGCTTAGAAGACTTGTGCCTCAACATAGTTTTGGGCGAGGATCGGTTCCCCATACTTTGTGCGATCTTTGGACCACTCTGTAACAAGAAGCTACTAGTAGCAAGGCATCGCTACTAGGAACAAGGGCATTGCTCCGAGTAGCAAGAAGCTACTAGTAGCTAGTAGTAATGCCTAGCTGTTGGGAAACTCTGTCGCAATGCGTCACGGAATGGATGCGCAACGACGCTTTTTGTTCTGACTTTAAATTTCCGTAGCTGTTAGGAACAAACACAGCAAAGACACAGAACACGAACTTTCATCAAATAACTTTCATCAAATAACTATATACACACTGCCTATGTTCTGATAACTGCACAGTGGACTTAAAACGACCATACAGGAACTGCAAAACAGCACCTTAGTTTTGCACGCTCTTCACATCGTGCAACCAGCAGCAGCAGCAGCAGCAACAGCGGCAGCAGCAGCGGCAGCGGTCGCGGAGGCGGCAGCAGCAGTAGCAGCAGCACCTTCTTGTTTTCTGTTTCCGAGGTTTGATACGACTGAGACAAGACCACCAAAACTCAAGGACTCCCACCAAGCCCAAAAATGTGCATGCGCTGCAACGAGTCAAGGGAAGCGCCTGTGCCAGCCCACCAATTTTCACGAGCCTGCCCAGTCGAAGATCTCGAGCGTGAATTTCCCGTAAATAGCAGCGAAAGAATCCCTAGCGTGAACACACTGGTTGGGGGAAAGCTTACATATCAACTTGGAGACACGCCAGACCAACACCAAGAACATTTTGGGCTGCCCCGCAAATCAAGTTCAAACAGTGTTGTTGAAAGCAGGTTGAGACAAGGTGCGATTGTAAGATGTTCAGCAGTTTCTGCAAAGGCTTGTTGGTTATGAGGCAAAGTCGTAAAAACCTTGATCCTTAGTTCTGCACCAAGAACCACAATGCTTTTGGAACCAACGGTTCTTCTCAAACTTTGGCGCCTTTTCTGCAGAGGGTTTCTGAAGTTTTATTGTTTGTGTTGGGAAACATCAATTGTTTCGTGTTGATGACGCCATTGCTCAAAAACAACAAAGCTGCAAACCCTGAACAATCTCAAATCTTCTTCTGCTTTTGCAAGCTCTTTTCCTTGTTCATAATTTAGAGTATAGAAGACTAGAGTAAAGTAGAGTGAAGCAGCACTTTTGGGACCATAGTTGAGAAGAGTAGAGTTTGTTAGATGTTTTGGCTGTCATGTCCATGGGTTGATTCTTTTCTCCCACTTCTTCCTCGCAACCTCACTTCTTCGTCGCTTTTCCCGTCACTTCCTCACTGCCTCTTCTCGCCATTGTGTTTGGATTTTTGCACTTCTTCTTTGACTTGCCTATATTTTTCAATTTTACAGTACAGATTCTAATGCCACTCATTCTTTTGTTGTCATTTAACCGTCACCTACATCGGTTTGATTTTATCACAGAGTCTCCGCAAGAGAACTTGCTGCTAACTTGTTTTAGTTCTGTGACCGCGTTTGCTTTTTCAAAGGCCTGCTGCTGTGCAGCGTCCGTGGTGTAGCCTCCCAGTTGTGCGAATTCACTTGCAACTTGCAACCTGCAAGAATGCGGCTTTCTCCCTTTGATGCAAGTCAACTGTCGAGAACCCGTCCGACGTCCAACTTCAGAATCGCTGAAGGCCAGCTGAATCTGAAAAGATTCCAATACCAAGTGATGTGCTGCAAAATAGACAGGACTCAAACAGCAAAGGACAAAAAAGGTGCTTTGGCATAAGCTGCCTTTACCAAAGTTTTTGCTGGACCTGCTTTGGTTGCCTGGGTGCACAGGCTCTTTTTGCCTTCAGTCCCTAAACCTTACCTTTGGCAATCGCAAATGCTGTTCCTTGTGTGAATTCTGCAACAAGGCGGAACAGACACGCGAAGAGATGCGGCCCAACACGATTGAGGCTTTTTGTGTGAACATTCTAATTTAATTCTAATAGCTTCTTGTTACTACTAGTAAGGCACTTGTTACTAGAAGCGATGCACTTGTTCCTAGTAGCGTCCTTGTTCCTACTAGTAAGGCACTTGTTTCTAATAGCTTCTTGTTACTACTAGTAAGGCACCTGTTACTACTAGCGTGGCACTTGTTACTAGTAGCTTCACTGAACATGCTGTATGTCACAGCTTTCATATTTGCATGCACTTTGGTCTTTTTGTGAGTGCGTGGTGAGACGAAGGCAACATGCTCTCGTCTTCAGTCCACAAACAAGGCAGCCGTTGTGCGGAGAGTAGCTTGTGCAAGACAAGACAGCGTCCTTGCAGGTGCTCCTGAGAGCTGTCCCGCTCTCAACCGATTCCAGCTTCCCCTCCAGCTTCGACATGCAATGCTAGACAGACTGATATAGACTAGAGTTTTGCTGGCGCGGAAATGAAAGGGTGGGTTGGCAATTACTGTAGGCAAACATTCATTCCGTGCTTCGGTTTTCTTCTTTTTCCGGCAGGCAACACTTTTTTTGCCCAGCACCACAGGTCCCAACTGAACAATGAGCAAGGAGCATTTGCCCATTGCTTCACTTGTTTATTTTTCCTTTTTTGTGGTCGTGGCAGAACTGAACCATGAACAAAAAACAACTTCGAATTCTTCATCATGGAAATGAGTTTGGTGGCTGACTTGGACCTGTTTTTGACGCTTTAGCTTCTTCAGGTCCATCATTTAGCAGAGCGTTGCCGTCGACTGGAAGGTAGCTCTGGTGAGGTGGAGCCATCACTCAAGACTGGACTAACTTGTGCTGGGAGGTGAAGTACCTGAAGCAGTTGACTGTACATGACGGCACAAGCATTCCACAAGCACATTCAAGATTGGCGCTGATGCAAGCCTGCCGGAAAAATGCAACATGTAGCAAATCCTACCGGCGCAGAACATTCGGGAAAACTTTACCTTTCTTGCCTGAACATTGATAGTTTCCTTTCCACTGAACAATTACGCACCCATTTCCCTTGTTGAGAATTGTTAAGGAGGCCCGTGTTGTTTGTTCCTGTGCAGGTTCAATCCTTGAGGCAGGCTTTGGAGCAATCCCAGGAAGCGCAGCGCAGGCTGCAGCACTCAAACCAAGTGCTTCAGGCCAGGATTTTTCGAAGTTTTCTGCGTGGCCGATTTGCTGAGCATTTGCCTTCAATGTTCGCAGGAGCACCTCAAGGTACACCTGAATGCATGCCATTTAGCTGGAGATTAGTGGCCGCAAGCCAGATTTGACTCTCACACCCTCGCAATGTAGGTAGACGTGGACCAACAAAGTTTTTCCCACTTTCGTGCTTTGGCTACACGTTTCCAGCAGTTTGGACATGGGACTTTCTCAATGTTGAGATGCTACACTAGCAGCTTTTTGCTATACTGGCAAACAACGTGCTTTCGAAGCTGACGCCCGACTCTACGGTGTAGCAAGATCGACTTCCAGGGTCTCACAGAAGACTTACGGAACATGTACAAAAGATGAGCAGCAACTTTGACACGAATCTGGACCACGCCAGATAGTCAGAACTCCCAACCAAACCTGATCAGCACCATCCAATATGGTGATAAGAATGGATTTTTGCTTTTCAACTGGTGTATGTTGGCATGATGATTGAAACTCTGTTTACAGAGATGCGATCTTTTGTCAGTTTGTATCAACATATGTATATATATATACAGTGTAGAATACACCCGTGTTTCAAGCACGTACATGCTTTGGGTCCGGATATTACCAGTGTCTGTGCTGCTTGCTGCTTACAGCAGTGCTCATGCTAGGCATGTCTTGGTGTGGGGGCTGGGCATGACATGAATTGAAACTGAATAGCAAAAGTAAGCGAGAGCCGCAAAGCAAATGCGTTTGTTTAAACATTAAGAATTGTTTTGCAGTCTTCTTGTTTGGCTGAACCCCCCTGATTGTGATTGCACCAGGGCATTTCTTCAGCGCTGGCCGGTTTCTGTTTCGTTGGCTGCTGCATGGTGTCCCGTCTAGATTGAGACGTGGATCCAATCTGGGAAAACAATGACCCAACGAACAGCGATTCTCACAGGTTTTTTGTGCTTGAGGGTCATTCTCTATACTTTCCAATCGGTTGGGTAAGAAAGCACTTACAATATGCTGTGTGGCAAGATAGCCGACAAAATCCATGCTTGGGCAAAATTAGCCCGGCCTAGCCTGAATTGCAAACGGCGGCTCGCTGTGAATGTGGTTCTGCCAGTCGCCGCATTTGGCTGTGTGATGCGCCTTGAAGCGGAAGATGGAAAGAAAAAGGTGCAACACAAGAATGCTTTGTACAAGAGATGCTGGCCACACTATGCTTTGAACTTCTTTGGGAAGCTCTTTCCAAGCAAGTAGGACCTCAGCTATGATGACTATGATGTAGCCTTCCATTGCAAATCATTAAATCACCGCCTCTTGACGATATGCAATCAGTTTGGCTCTGGTGTTTGATCTGGAAGGAACCGGTCCAATTCTGTAAGAGGCTTTTTTTTGGAGCTACAACTCGCAAAAAGGACTGCTTATGTCAATACATGTCATTTTATAATATACTCATTTGCAGCATAACAATCGGAATGTAATTGTAATATGTTACATAGATGCATCGCTGGCAGGTTGAAAGATCATCAGCTGTTTGGAAGCATATTGGTAGCTCTAGACTAGTCAATATCAGCGCAACGCGCCTGTGACTCTTCAAGCAGGCAGCTACGACATGGCTGAGGCCGAAAAACAGTGCGATGTATGGACCCCTGTATATGTGTTGCTTGGGATTTGAGCTTTAATTGAATTGTAAGGGCCTACTCTGAATCGGCCGTGGTTCTGAATTCTGGGAGCTTATGCTGATGATTTGGTTGACGTGCAGTGTCGATCCTTTTTGGCGTGGATTGTTCGTACTATACTTTCTTTCTCTATGCATGGGCACTCCGCCTTTGTGGTTTTGCTTCAGCCGATCAAATTTGGTTTGCGTTGGTTGATGTTGGTAGAGACAATTCTTGCCAGCCTTCGCAAACCTATTCTTGGAATTTTGACTGAAGATGTAGGACATATATAAATTAAGTTTTTGGCGATCCCTTCCAAGTCCTGCCTCAATACTGGATGTAAGGTCTTGAGGCGGTGTATGGGCTCAAGACATTCAATGCACACTTCCAACTTAAGGCCTTTGACCTCTGCCAATGACAGTAGGGCTGCACCGGTAATCACACCCAGAGGTGTCCCCGTTTTGGATCTATGCCTATTTCCGATGATTAATGCTTCGGGTTGCTCACAACCACCCATTTGAAAACACAATGCAACAAATCAACAAGCGTGATTACATTTTTGCCGATGAGCAAGACACTTGTGTTTGAGTCTTTCCAGAAAATACTCAATGGCCATCACGTCGCTCGCTTTCTGAATTGAGAGTCCTCGTGCAGCTGTTTGCCTTTGGCTACTTTGTCCTGTGCTGTTGGCTGGTTTCTCCCCGCTATATTTGTTGTTTCAGTTGTGTCCTAGAGTCTTGGCTAGCTGGAACTCGTTCAAGTTGAGTGATGGCGAAACTCCTTTGGCTAAGTTGAGCGACTGATCGATGTGACCGACACGTGTTCCTATCATGTGCAAACAACCTCTCTCGACAAGCTTGCCATGCTCTCGAATCACACTTTTCTGTCGAAGCATCACGTTGTTCTATGCTGGTATATATTATATATTGTTTTGAATATTGACTTGACAAGTTCTCGCACTTTCCTGTCTCCTACTGCTGAGTATTGGATGCATTTGATCAGAGTAGGACTTTCCTTTCTTCGCAGCAAAATAGACATAGACAAGACAGATTGGGATCAGACATATCAGCAACCGAAGCTTTATGGTTCCTCATGGATTTTGGTTATCATTTGGGGATGCCAGGTAAAGCTCTTGCAGACTTGAATTGGCCAGGCTGTCCGAATCACTTTTCACTAACTGCTTTCTTCATGACCCAAAGTGCCCGTTTGTGATGTCTCTGTATCTCATTTCTGCAGACGATTCGGAAACCTCCCCTGAACCATCCCTGTGCAAGTAGCCTGGAAACTATCAACAAAAGTGTCCAGTGACAAAAGCACCATTAATTGTAGTTCCCTGCCCTGCGTCAAATCGAGCGCCAAAAAGTGAAGTAAGGCGAACATCAACTCTCAATAACCTATGTGATCTGGCATCATATTGCAAGCACTTCTTTCAAAAGATCTGGGCGCATCTCGGGTGGCAGCCTGTGCTGTTGTGAGAAAGCAAAGGGAAGCACCCTCACTGGAAAGCCTTATAGCCGTAGCCTGATGGTGAGTGTGGTCTCTGGCAACAGATTCAGTGCCACGTCCTGCCTTCCTTTCCGCTGTCCGTGGTGTGGTGCGACTGTGTTTGCGTCTGTGGCGTGTCAATGTTGGCTGGAAGTCAAAGCAGTTTGATGGAGTACTTGTGCACTCATTTTTCATGATGTGTGCGAGATGAATTTTCTCGCAGGAAGTTGATTTCGATTCCAAAGAAGATTATGAGCTGTACAAAAGGCGGCCTTTGCAAGAACACAATTTGGAGTATTTGCAAGGGCATCCAAGAAAAGTCAAAGGTCAAAGATCTCAGTGTTCTGTGTTTCTGCTCGTGAGATGTCTGAACTTGCTTCCTAGAAGTGCTTGCAGGCTCATGAGTGAGCGCAGCCGCATCCAGCGAAAGGAAGAGAGAGTGAAACATACTAAGGCACCCCCTTTCCATGGAGGACTAGCGGGCATTGGCCAGATTTCTAGAATAGGATTTTGTGTATGTGGCTCTTGGGTGCGTGCCAGGCACCAAAAGCTCGACCGCTCCAAATGCAAAGACTAGAGGACGGACGACAGTGTTTGCCAAGCTCCTTCTCTCTCTCTCTCTCTCCATCTCTCTTTGTTCGCTCTTCATTGCACTTCGTGCCAAGGTTACAAACTGAAGATCTGCCATTGGTGTTGGTGTCAATACCGAAGTTTCGTCTCATGGCAAGCTGGCATGTCAAGCATCAGAAATCTGATCGGATGTGCATGTGCTTTTGTGACACATCACGCCTGGACTCTAATGTATATTTGGTGGGCGGCACACGTGGGCAAAAAGGGTTTTAGGGTCAGCCGTGGGGCACATGAGCTCAGCAACTCGCTTGATAAGAGCTCTGGCCTCCAGCTCATCCCCAAGCAAGGCCCAGAATTCGTTGAAGAAGCATGCTTTGCTCAGCATGGTGGTCAGTTTCCATTCACTCTTTTGGCTAGCAAGGGCTGAGGCGCACAAAGGGCGCACGGCCGTTCGCTGCCATTTTTGAAGCGTGTCGGCCGAACCATGGGACCCCAAAATCACAAACGAACCAACTCAATGTGCTCAAGGTCAGTAAGTATATCGAATCGAGCCGTTTGTATCGAATACAGTTCACGGCTTTCGATCCAACAGTTGGTGCCTTTGCACCTTCCGGTGCCGCGCAGTTTTGGATGACGCTGTGAGACGAGTGCAATTTGGTGGCATGGCAGAAGGGCCGCCGAAGGGCCGCTCAACGGGCTGGCCGCAGCTGCTGTGCACTGACATTGCACGATGTATCATGGCTGGCCAAGCTGATGCAGCCATAAGCGCAGTTGTCTCTCCATGATCCCCTGGAGAGGCAGCCCGTGTGCTTCAATGCCATGGAGCATGGACAGTCGAATGCGGTTCGACCAATCGCACGCACACACCCTCAAGACCAATGCAAAGTTTGCTCAGTTGCCTTTGGCGGCTTGGGGCCTTACGCTGGGTTGCGAAGATGGCACTTTTGAGCAATCATAAGGCAAAACCATAGGCAGCGAGGGTAGGCTGCCAATGCAGTTTGCGCAAAACCGTTCAAGGTTAATTCTGCCCGGTGTATTGGCTGTCAAATCAACGGAAATGTCGCTCTCCCTCCTCCATCGCTCCCTCGCTCCCTCGCTTCCTCGCTCCCTCTCTCTCCCTCTCTCTCTCTCTCTTTGTGTCTCCCCCTCTCTCTATTTCTTTCGCTTTCATTCTTCCCTTGAATTCTGCTTGTGTTCTAGCTCCCCCCAGCTATGTTTCTAGTCGCTCAACAGTTGTATGTTTGTTTTGTTTGTTTGACAAGATGCAACTAGATCAGCTAGCAAACATTAGCATCACCAAGACTCCCTTGCTCAGTGCTCATCCAAACCCTGACTCCAAACTCTGCCCCCTACAAGAACTCAATATTTAGTTTTCCAGATTTCTATGTCTCCGTCTCATGGATGGTGCAACCATTTCAGAACTTTCTTTGCCGATATGACAGCGTGAAACTGTCAACTTGTTGGTGTGCGCGGTTGATCCCGATCCTACCGGTGTTTTGGGTCCGAATGCATAGGGGCCGCAGTTCCGTCCAACGTTTGAGCACCTTTTGCCATGGACTTTGGAAAAGGGTCGCCGTGAGGTCCGAGGGTGTCCACGCTTTCACAGTGGTACCGCAGAGCTCTGGGCGGAATTCCAGGCCTAGGGAGGTGGCATGAGTGGGGACGAGCGCGAAACCCAGAGGCCAGCTGGATACGCCTCTGCCAGTCAGGACCCAAGAGCGAGAGCATCGGAGTTGGGTGGCGGCCGTGACCGAGATCCTCCACCAAGCAACGATGGCGAGAACCAGGAGCTGACGTTCCGGAACTTTGAGAAGCAGGTGAGCCTTTGGCAGTTCGAGACCGAGGTGCCCAAGGCCAAGAGAGGGGTGAAGTTGCTTCCCCAGTTGAGCGGAGTGGCAGCCAGAAGTGTCCGAGATCGCTTGCGAAGAAGGAGTGAAGAATGTGATGAACAGACTAGGGGACTACTTCCTACCGCACTTGGAGGTGTCGCTTCCACGTGCTTTTGAAGCCGCGGTCCACGGCGTACCCCGTGGCAACAAGGAGAGCTTCGCCAAGTACACCAAGCGGATGGAGAGAGCCTTTGCGCATCTTGGCAAAGAAGGGGTCGACGTCCCGGATGGTGCAAAAGGGTACATCATGTACCGACAAGCCGGGCTTACAGAAGCCCCGTTGACCTGGTCGGAAGGGAAGTATGGTCGCTCCGAGATAACGAATGCCTTGAGGCGCTTGGACAAGGTCATCCGCGAAAAGAGCAAGGGGAACCATCTCACACAGAAGATCTTTCTCGCTGAGGACTCGGCGGGTGGCGCCTGCGTGTTCTTGGCCGATGGCGACTTAGATGAGATGATGGATGAACAGGATGTGATGGCCGCTTTGGCCGCATACCAGGACACTCGCCTGGCCTTGAAGGATCAGCGACTTGGCAGGGGCTACTTCCCAGGCAAGGGCAAAGGCAAGCTCAGAAAGGGAAGGACAAGGGCAAGCGGCGAGTTCACATCGGGCAGTTGAAGCTGAGGACACGGTGTCGTCGCTGCCAGCAGATAGGCCATTGTGAGAGGGAATGCCAGAACAACCCAGCGCCTCGTCCCAACCTTTCTTTGTTGATTGTCAGATCCCAGCGGGCATGGTGGACACGGCAGCTGAAGGTGGATTGGTTGGAAAGCTCCCCTTCAACGTTTGGAACAGGAACTCGCCATGCGGGGGCTTTGCGTCAAGTGGGTTCCTAAACAGACCTCCGCAAAGGGGGTTGGTGCAGGGTGATGTTCCTCTTCTTTTACCCGTTCGTTTGTTGGTGGCTTTGGAAGTGTTGATTGACATGAAGCACATGGTCACGCTTTTGCAATCGCACGACATCACGGTTCCCCTCCATCAGTTACCTAGCGGTCATGTGACGGTCAACATCCTTCGCCGACGGCAAGTTCGTGGTTCCTCCGGAAGCGGGGGAGCCTCATGAGTTTGAGTTGAGAAGTTTGTGCTATTGTCAGCAATGCCGGCTCAATTTGACGGTGTCGCTCAATTCGATCAGCCCAAAGACGCCCATTCCTCACCTTCTATACCCATGACGTCGCTGCTTCAGAAGGCAAAAGCTTTGGTGGGGACAGCTCCTACGGTGGATCCTACACCTATGGAGATCGGGCGCCGGGTGCACAGCCCAAAGCGCAATTGGCGCGTGGTCATGGACAAGATCGGCGTGCTCCTGGTGCTGGCGGCTTTGCAAGACGCCGCAGAGGCTTGGTGCTTGGAGCTGGGCTCGCAACGTTCGGGGCGCAAGTCTATGGAAACCATCCAGGATTACTATGGTGAGGTGATCCTTCGTGCACCGCCCGTGAATCCGTGAAGCCCCTCCAAAGCAAGGCTACACCGACCGTTTCCGCGAGTAAGCCTAGTGCGTCTGTGTACGTCCCTTGTGGCCAGTGCCACGCGCGGCCATGCTATGCCTACCCGGGACAGTACGTGACAATGCCACAGCCAAGCTCCCACAAAACGGAAGCCGCGAAGAGAACAGCGCTCTGATTGGACAGGGAAAGGGGCCTCCACGAAGAAGCAACATTCCAAAGGACATGGTAGGTCCTCCAGTGCAACGCGTTGACCGCCTGCCCCAAGTACAACTGACACACCTCCCGGACTTTCTCCAACCGGGAAGGCAGCAGCAACTTTGAGTACAACCGCAGGCCCACCGCCTCCCTCAATGGGCAAGGGAAAGGCAAAGGCAAAGACAAGGCGGCAAAGGCAAAGTACGGTCTGGCCCGCATACTCACTCCTGGGAAACTAGGCTGCAGCTGCAGCGTCGGCAGATGCGTCCGAGGTATTCTACGCAGAGAGACTTTGCAGGAACTATTGGCCAGACGATTTGGAGCTATGGCATTCGATGGAACAAGGATGGTGAGAGTGGACAAACAGATTTGATTTTACATATTTGTGAAGAGGAGTTTCTTAGCTACCATAAATGGTAGGCCTGTTTCACCGTTTCACTGCCGGTTCGCATTCCTAAGTGGATGCCTATTACTGAGGGTGAACTTTTCATCACTACTCAGTAGTGCACTAGGATACGCATGAATAACAACATGCAGTAACTAAGCTTAACTGTACATTAGGGTAGCTACGTTCTCCTTGTATAGATGCATGCATGAGCTTGATGAAAGAAATTCTCCAGAATGTTCCTTCGTCCCTCATGAAATTCCTGTCACCCCGGAGCACCTACTCAAGCGTAGAGAAGAGGTAGCTTAGCGGAACTGCAGGGTTAGTCGAGCTGATCCTGTAAGATACAATTGCCAAAACCCATCACCGATCCCAAGAGAAAGGATGAAGGCCCGCGCTCACAACCAGGCCCAACTCACAGGCTAGAGCCGGCAATTCAATGCAACAACGATGTTTCCCAAGTTCACCACCCACCCAAGTTCACCTTTGTTTGGCTTGCACTTCCCTTGTCAAGTCTCCTGTGCAGCCTGTGCGGTTTCGAGAACTGAGTGTGTGAGGCGCCCGCCAAAATCGAACATCCATGCCCTTGGCAAACATCTTGATACCCCATCCACAAGCGCACTGGAGAGGCTTTGCTGCCAGTCAAAACCTCAAGCCTTGCTTTCTGAAAACTGAGAATGCAAATCATTGGTAGAAGTAAATCTAGTTCAATCTCAGGCTTTGTCCTTTTTGAAGCGAACATGTGGGGCAAGGCCACATGCCATGTTGGAAAATTTAAGGCCTAATTCCAACGGCAACCAGTGGTCTTCTTCCATCAATATGCAGGCTTAAACAATAATATGTATGGAATGGCCCAATGGCCTATATAAACTTAAGCTACTTTTGCTGTAGTTTTTGTCTGCAGGATCGGGAACGAGGCTTTCAACTTCATTTTGCTGGGGCCAATGAAGAGCGACTGAAGCAGGCTGTACAGATTTCAGGATGAGAGTTTTACCAGTTGCTGCGCTGTTTTGGGAATACGGGCTATGTTGCATAATCACAGGCCAAGAGACGGCAACAACAATCTCCACTGGCGCAGGCACCTGGTAAACCACCATCCAAACTTTCAAGGAATTGCCCGCATCCCGCCATATTTCTTTCGAAATTTGTCACGTGCAGGTGCAGACTTCTGAAGAGCCTGTGGCTCAGGAGCTGTTAAACTGCAATGCAAAGGTTCAGTCATGTAGCAGTGCCGCGCTTGAGCAGCTGAAATCAAGCCAAACGACAAAGGATATGTCCTTTAAGTGCAAGGGTCAGTCGTCCATCGGTGGATGACAGGTGAGCATTGAATTCCAGTGTGATTCTACATAAACGAAATTAATTGTGAAGATTGAGAACAGGGCAATCTTCTTACAGTTCAAAACCTCAGTGTCAACTTGGACTATGCAAAGGCATAAAGCCCGTAAATTCCAGGCTCCTTCTTGATCAAACTCGAACGTCGTAAGCAGATTGCACGCTGATTTGAATTGGAAGTGTACTTGAGAGCCACTGACGTGCTGCAACAAAATGTGTATTTGAGATTGAACCCTTCTTAAAAGTCAAGTTGTGAAGGGTTCAGTATCAGTTTTGGGCCAAACGCAAAGCCTCAAAGGTGGACAGCTTTAGGTTGCAGTGCTCGTCCACTCCTGGTGCTGCCAGTGTTGCTGACAAGGCCACAAAGGAAGGAGTGGCAAATGAAGACGGTTGAGCTACATGGAAAGGACAGTTGCTCCAGTGGTAAGATGAAACCGAAGCTTCGCAACCAGCTCAACAACCCCCCGATTTTGATGCCTCTCGATTTCTACACGGAACCAAAACTGTCCTTTTCTGAGCATATTGGCATATTCAGTTGAGGATGGAGAGATCTATCGTTCTTCACCCCATGCTGGGAGCGCGCAGGCAAGAAGCATTCTGAATTCTGAGCATTGAGTTTTTTGCAGTAACAAGTGCATCGCTTCTAGTAACAAGTGCCTTACTAGTAGTAACAAGGTTGCTGTTTTCGAAAAGGGCCCGAGTTGTGAGCTGGGCATTTGTGCGGATATGATATACCGTTGAACGCGTCTTTTCTTTTCTCTCTTTTGGGCATAGTGCGCGCTCACATAGTTACAAGTTGCAGTGCTTGCTCCTGATCGCTGTTGAGCCTTCAGCTCTCTCAGCAATTTTTGTTAAAAATCACTACTGAGAATGCACCACGACAGGCGTCACGGGAAATTGTATCGCTCTCATGAACGAATCATCAAGCCAATGATAATCACTGGCAGAGTTTGTTGATTATTAGAAGGCCGCCGGGACTCAGCGAGCAAGCTGGATTGATTTGCAGGGTTTTCATACAGTCGTGGCAAGTGCTTTGGCCTGAATTGCCTGCCACCGGCGAGCCCGGGGATTGGACGTTTCAATATCCTGGCCTGGCAGTTGTGTAGCAGGAGGTGAGTTGTCCCGGTACAACGGATACGGTGATGCGTGTGGCTTTGTATGGCGCGGAGAGAGCAGTGAGTAGTGTTGTAAAGGCTGACCTCTTGCGATCCGAGGTGGCTTGTTTGGGCTATTATAGAGGCACAGTGATTTCGGATCCAATGTACCCACGCGAGCCCACTGGGCCACAGCACAGTTTGCGCAGCCACACCAGTTGGCAGGACAACGTGCGCAGCAAGCATAATGGCATATTCCAAATAAGTCACACTTGCTGTAGCAGTCCACACGTGCTCGATCGGCAATATACTGTGTGAGCTGGGAGAATATGTCTCAAGGAAAACCGATGACAAGCAAACAAATGCTTCATAAATAGCGGACTGTTTTTTTTTGTACCCGGTAGGGTTTTTTTTGGATCTGTTTCCGGGGTACAGGGTTTCAAATAGTACCGTTGGGTTGGGAAGTTCTTTTTTTCAGAGTTGTTTCCGGGGTATAGGGTTTCAATTGGCACTGCTTCCGGGGTATAAGGTTTCAAACAGTACCGTTTGGTTGGGCAGGGCCCCTGCGGCAAAACTTCCACTTGCGGCCTGTGCGTCCCTGTGGCAAGTCTATCCACTTGCGGCGTGGCAAGGCTATTTGGGCACCTCTGTGGGGTT